AAGTCTTCGAGCTATCATATGGTTCAGCTTCAACAGAGTACAAGATACCCTTCTTCTGGCTCTCAGATTGCGATCATGAAGCCTCCTTCTGATAATTGTCTCATATGAGACAACATTTCCTGTTCCATTTCTCAGTATCTAGTTCAGTTGTCCAGCAGTCTGTGTTCGAAGACGACGTACCGAAGTAAATAAGAAGTTATCATTTCTCGCAGATGTTTTCCTTGTCGTCCACCACCGTGACGATAATTATGATCTCCTGTTTGATCTTGACGACGGGTTGCCTTGTACATATATTGAAGCTCTTGATGTGTAGAAATACAGTCGAATGTCTTCAACATTCAATCCAAGATCTCTAATTCAGAGAACCATTGGTAATTGTTGATTACTTCATCTCGAGATATTTTATTAGAATAATCAGAAGTATGACAACTTCTGATTATCGCTTGTAATACAACAAGTGTATTGATGATTATCGAAACACAAATTCCTTCGATTTTGAGAAACAAATTGTGTTGCTTGGAAACCACACGAGCGCATAGCGGGGCCCTATCTACCATTGACATATTTTCCTTTACCTTTAAAACACCCTGTATATCATATATCGAAGACTGGAACCACTAACCGAACCGATTTTTTAAACGCCTCGACACGTGTTTCGCTATGTTAGCATTTTCAGGAGAAGATTAAAACTCACTCAGTTAATGAGAAAGAAGTAAATACTGAATATTCATCAACTTTCCGTATTTGAATTGGATGGAAAAAATCCTCATCATGAATATTGATAAGGACCGAACTCGATATTCTTATCACAAGAAGAAATGAGATACGATCTTGTCTACACCTGATCGATGTTGAGATAATGAGATGAAAATTTCAACAATGGTTCCTCTGATCTTGTGTTTCTGTAATCTGTTCCTGTAATACCGGTAGTTCAGTGACAACTTAATTCATTTCTCAAAAACTGAAGAGGAAAATCTCAATGGAGCTGTAACATCTGAAAGATTCAAACAATTCTGAGGTTCAATTTCAAATGAGATTTCTACGCAGAATACTGGAATTACTATCGCCTGAAGGTAAAATTGGTATTATTTTATACGAATCGATAAAGCGACGCAGAACACCTGAAAAATGTAAATCGGTTCTTACCAGAAACAGAAGATGCGGGTTTTGTTTCCAGAGAAATTCTCGGAGGACAATCATATATCAAGGATAATAATGAGCCCTTGCCTCTGCTGCGTGGAATTCTCAATTTGAATATCATCTCCTACTCGATAAATGAGGTTACATGTTTTTTACCCGATTCATACCACCTGCTCTGAAAATATTTCAGGATCTGTTCTGAATTGCTCAACCAACACTCGGAAAGTGGAATAAAGAATGACCGTTCAAAGTTCTAATTGAGTATACGCAATACAACTTTCGATTGCCTCAACCAATTCATAATTCCATATTCGATTTTTTATTAATGCTAATTTGATTCTCAATTATTGAATCTGTATGATTCGTCACAAGAGACCCACAATGATTTCATATGTCAAAAACTTATCACACAATGTAATTCAATATAATACACGTACAATGGAATATCCTTCTATCGATATGAAAAACTCACTTAAACTAAATTATCCCAAATCATCAAGTTTTTCAATATTTCGAACTTAAAAATTATCATCAGGATTCTGATTTTGTTCTGATATATGTATATGGTGAGTGTATGTTGATTTGGTGTTGTTTATGGCCATACCACGACCGCCTCCACCACTGAGAACCTGCCAGACATCCCGTTCAGTTTTTAATGGTGTAACGGCAGTAGAATAAGGGAGGAGATATCGATCTATCAATCGAACAATGAAAATTTGTTGTCAGCATAAGTTCTTCTGGTCTTCTGGAAAGACATGAAAATTCTAGAAAGGGAAATCAGTATAAAGAAATGTTATATCCTCACAAATGATAAAATTTCTACAAAATTATCAATCACACGACATGTTTTGGTAACACAGTTTTTCCATCAGGTGAAATACTGAAACAATGAACTAAACTAACTTTGGCTTGCCTAACTTTTATTTATCCTACTTTCCCAACCTATAAGATCAGAATTACCTGTGGACAGGTTCGATTAAGCCTCATTTTCGAGAAATAGGCACAATATCTACATTAAAATACGGCATAACAGATCAACTTGAAAGGGTTCATAGCGAAAACATATCATTGTCTACTGAGAAAACAAGTTCAACAGTGAAAAATTCGATTTTGCATTAACCTTCCCTCACTATTGATAATAATTCAACACACCCTCATCAACATGAAATTGCATCATATAACGAATAGTATGATACAGAAGCACGTGAATGCCTTTCTCTAGGAAGTAAATTTTATTGCAGACCCCAATATCATAGAACAGATTGCAGTCAACAACGGATACAACGTTAATTGGATAGACAGTATTTTTTTTTTGAAAAACTTCATAATGGAGCTATTCGAGAAGTTCATCCTACCATCAGATATAATAATCAAAATTATGAAACTTTAACCTATTTCGGATCATCAACTGAAAAATTAGTTTCATTTCTACAGAAACAAGATTTAAGAGTAGCTTTGAGAACAAATAACACGTTGGGAAGGTGAATAAAAAATAATGAAGGAGAAACTTCTGAATTCGAAAAATCAGGCGTATATACAAACTCAACTGGTGATCTTGTCCTAAGGTATATCTTCAATCAGCGCATTCATGAACATAAGATGAATTTTTCAAAAGAGGGAACAAATTCAACATATGCCAACCATATATTAGAAGGAAACCATAGTTTTGAAGATAATCTCAAAATTCTACTCGTAGAAAATGCAGGAATAATATTCAATAATTCTGAATCATTAGAAATCAACAAACTCAAAAATTCTAACATTTTTCTTAACGATCGACTAGACTTCAACAGTTCACCACTCCTGAATTAATTTCCCTAGTAGATAATGATATGTATTTGCTATCACCCCTCTCGAGTTGAACCGGTACACAGTATTTCAATGTAGATATTCTGCGTATTTTTCGAAAATGAAGGTTATTAAAACCTGTCCACAGGTTATTCTTATTCTTCAGGTTGGAAAAAAAGGATATATAAAAGATAGGCAATCCGAAATCAGTTAAGTATATTGTATCTTACCTGATGGAGCTACTCTGTCAGCGGAACATGTGGTGGGATTGAAAATCTTGTGGAAATCTTATCGTTCGTGAAGTTTTCACATTTGCCATGGATTTCCATCGAGTAACGGCCAAGTCAATTCAAAAACAGTATTAGGAGTAATATCGCCTGCAAAGCTGTGGATAGAGCAAGTGATTGCTCCAATTAGATCATCGATTTGAGGTAGGACCAATGTTGGTGCCAAACTTGATCGTTGTGGAACGCCAGAGTTGATGGCAATAGAATCAGACGATATTCCCTTCAGCATCTTATGGAGCGATCTGCCTGAAACGAAACTCGATGAAAAATATCAAAGCTGGGCTGAGAAGCCGTGTATGAAAGTAGTTTGTGAAGGAGTATTTGGAGCCAAACACGGTCGATTCCAAAGGCATAGCTAGAGCTTTTCCTCGTTTTTCTAATCAAGCTTTCCAATATTGGGTGATGTAGTCAAGTGAATAGACAGTTGAACTTCGGTGCCAGAAGCCATGATGTCTTTCATCGATGATTTCTGAGCTCTCCAGATATTTGATCAGCTCAATGTTGATGGTTTTCTCCATCACTTTGGAGATGACTGATAAGAGGGCAATTAGCTCATAGTTCTTGAGCCGGCTTTTGTTTTATCTTTCGAGTTGGACTTCAGCTATTTTTCAGCAAGACGTAAAAATACAAGATGGTGAGAACTAGCACAGAATCGATGTCAATTCTAGTGCTCACTTTTCGAGAATAATAGGTGAAATTCCATCAGGACCGTAAGCCTCATTCTTTTTGAGACCGAAAAAAATGCGTCAGACAGTCCGTTGATGAAAGACGATTTTGGGCATCCAACTCACAACGGGTTGAATATCTGGCGGCACATTTCCGTGAGAATCTGCAGTGCAGTTCGCTGCGAACATAACTGCAATGCAAACATCCTAGCTATTGGGAAAGTCTTTGAGTTTTGATTCTATGTCAGCATTGTCTCATTTTTTGATGCATTTTTAGTTTGCAACATGTTTTATTATAATCGTCATAAAATGGTTAGGTCCGCGAAGTGATAACAATATGCGACGCGACACTTTTTTCATTTTTCTAAGTTACTATATCACAACTTGCGCAGTGTCCGAAGTTAAATAGTATGCCAAACTCAAATTCCGTGCACTGCATGAAAACTATATGGGATTTAGGGATTTCATCCAAGCAGAATTTTGAGAAATCATTTATTTCAGAATCTTTGACTATGATCAAGGCTTCTTCAGCCAGTTCAACACCATTGTTTCATTGTACTTAACATATTTCCTATCTCAGAACAATACTTTTTCACGTGAAATTTGTTTTCAGCTCGTGCGCGGAATAAGTTAGCACTAGATAAAAAAAAAATAATTGGAGTGCTTAGTATATGATTGTGTTAGTAAATACTGTTGATTCAGTAGATATCTAAGGGGATCAGTGACTGATTCACTGGTCGGCCAGGTTGATCGCATCACAGGTTATTTTGATGTCGATTGGTTGCAATTGCAGAAAAAATCCAGAAACTTTTACCCGTTGTTCCATGGAGAACATGTCCAGTGATATCCACTAGTAGGTATATAATACCTCAACCATGCTGTCACTGCAACACCGATGACCGACTCCAATATCAATCGATTTCAAAACGAAATTATTTGTTTGAGAAGGAACCATTATGTATTGATTCTTTTGTTTCGTTCTACATAATGTTCACGTATATGTAGTATGTATATGTTCAAGAATGGTGAAGCCCTGAACTGAGTAGCAGATGGCACCTTTTATCAAGATACTAGAAATTAGTTGCAATAATATGATATTTATTTTTCATTTCAGATCAAGATGAAATCGGCAGTAGTTGTTTTAGCGATTTGTGTGATTGGTAACGTCAGCGCATGGGGAGCACTATTCAACCGCTTCTCTCCAGAAATGCTTGCTAATATGGGATATGGTGGCCATGGAGGAGGAGGAGGATATTCAGTGAGTTAATTGAGATAATATTCTACTCGATAAAACCCAGACATCACGGATTTTATTTCGAATTTTCCTTTGTTTTTTTTATGAAAACGTTAACTTAAACTTCATAATGATCATAGTTGGTCAAATATTATTCTCATTCCTGATTTCAATCACAAAAATTTCAGAAGATCTTGAGTCCTTTCGAAATGTCGCTGATAATGTAGGCTACCAATATTAGATTTTCTTATTTATATCTTTACATATGAAACATTCCAAGAATCGTATAATGATGAGTATACAGTCTGTCCAAGATAAGGTTGAACAGCATGGGGATCTCGGAAACGGTAGGAGATACGAAGTCGCTTGAATGGGGAAAAAGTTGCGCATTCGGAGGCTCATATCAAGAGCCTTCGAAAATTTTGAAAATTATTTTTAGTTTTTGAGTTATATCGAAAAAAGTGAATTTTTGGAATTTCTATTTTATTTTTTTTTCTCCGTTATTATCAGAGATACAGAAAAACTGAAAATACTTTTTCATTGCAACTTTTGATGAGGTTTAACGTGGTGATACCGAATTTTTTATGCGACGTTTCGTATTCGTGGAACCATCATCAACTTTTGTTTTTTGAATACGGGCCTGATAATTTCTTCACAGATTCTGAAAGGTTTTTTTATTCTGAATTTAACAATGTACTATACAAGGTGATTCGAATGTGTTTCGACCTATTTCTATCCATCATCAATGTTTTTTCGAACTTCCAAAAGAAAAAAAGCCATCAGTTTCACTTATTTCTTATCATTTAGTGTCAAACTTGATGGATTAGTTATTCAATACTGAAAAGTGAATAAAAAATATTTCACTACATCATTCGATCAATGCAGCGTTTAAAATTGTTGATGAATTCTTACACGAATTACTTTAACAACTTAACTTTGACAATACCTACAGAGACATTCATAACAAATGTTCAAAATGATAACCATTATTTTCTGAACAAAGATATCCTCTTCTCACAGTTGTTTCTAAGACATTGCTAAGCATTTCTGGGGTTATTCTATTGAATGCTTCGAAGACACTGTCCCTTAGTTCTTCTTCATCCTCAAAGTTATTTGCGTATACAAAGTTCGATATATCCCCTAAGAAAAATCCAGCTGTGTTAAATCAGGCGACCGCGCCGGCCAAGGGATAAAAACGCACGGACTTCTCTGGAATTATGTACCGGAGCGCCATCTTGTTGAAACCAACAGAGTTCTGAACTTCCGCAATCGGTAAATCATCCAGAGCTTCCTCAAGATGATTCTCAAGCGAATTTCTATAACGTTCGGAAGTCTGTGTTTCATGGTAAATAGAAGGAACAATAATTCGTGTACCAAATATTGCAACCCACATATTAAAGCCGAAACGGTGTTGGTGTCTCGCTGTAATGTATAAATGTTCATTTTCTCGTGAACAATAATGTGTATTTTTTCTATCGAAGCTACCATGATTAGTGACCATGCTCTCATCAGTCCAGATGATTGTTCGAAAGAAATCTGCAAAATTTTAACATTTCCTGGTATACCACTCACAGGATGTCTTGCGCCTTTCGTCATCTCCTGGTTTTAGCGCTTGACATATTCTGAATTTGTATGGATGGAATTTTTGTTTCCGCAAAATGAAATGGGTTGTTGATTGAAACCAGTTGATGAGGTATTAGTGTGTTGACTAATTTTCCTTCAAAATAAGTGGAACTGATGGCATTTTTCCTTTCGAGTTTCGAAAAAACATTGATGATGGATGGAAATAGGTCGAAACACAAATGAACCACCTTGTATAATACATGGTTGAATACAGAATAAAAAAACCTTTTAGAATCTGTGAAAAAATTATCAGGACTGTATTTAAAAAACAAAAGTTGATGATGGTTCCACGAATACGAAACTTTGCATGAAAAAATCGGTATCACCACGTTGACCGTCATCAAAAGTTGCTATGAAAAAGTATTCTCAGTTTTGCTGTATCTCTAACAATAACGGAGAAAAAAAATAAAATAGAAATTCCAAAAATTCACTTTTTTCGATATAACTCAAAAACTAAAAATAATTTTTGAAATTTTCGAAGGCTCTTGATATGAGCCTCCGAATGCGCAACTTTTTTCCTATTTAACCGATTTCGTATCTCTTACCGTTTTCGAGATCCCCATGCTGTTCAACCTTATCTTGGACAGACTGTATACTTATTGACTATAATAAGCTCCGAAACACCCCTTAGGATGCAAGTCAATGTCATATTTTTGACATCTGAATCGAACTTCCTCATGACAATGAGCACATCTCGTTCGTTTGTCCTGATAAATGACAATATGGTCAATCCGATCATATCGAGAATAGGCATGAGCATTTAGATAGCCTTGATCGTCCTCGTTTACTTGGTCTCCTATGTGATTCCAAGATATTTGTTACAATGGCCCTTCTGAACATGAGTTGATCAATTTTTCCTCCTTGGAGTCGATGAAGCTGCCAAGCATTCTGGACAGCAATATCAATGCAATGGCAAATGATGGGAAAGTACCATTTTTTCCACGGATGAAATTTTTTATGCAAACTTATTATCAGCATCCAGTACATTATGATCACAGCAGTGAATATTTTTTATGATATATGTGGAAAGGTCACAAATAAGTGCCGAACGAATTATATTATTATGACAATCATCTGCTGTTTCCCAATACATGTACCATTTTGGCAATTTGACATAGCCACTAACCATCAAAATGCCTATGAAACACTGGATTTCATCTACTGCTATATCTGCGATTCCATTGTTGTGCCTACAACAGTTATTGGTGTAGTGATGAATGAGATTCAGAACAACTTCATCGAAAAAAAAGTTTAAATTTTCCAGATGCGAACCATTCCTTTGTGTTTCTGATGATGCAGCAAATTCAGGAAAATCTTTCAGAGGATAAATATCCTTCCAGATGTAAGATTTCACAACTGAAGTGTCACTTTCTATCATTTCCATTCTGCGCCATGACACATTTGTTGATTTTTCACATGATATTGATAGAGGTATGTCTACTTCGGGATCTACCTCTAGAATAGAATTTTCATCTGGATCGTTGAATGATTTCCACAGGTGCCCGCAATTGGCTTCCAGGAAGACTGTTCAAGTCAATCAAGTCCTCGTCTCCGGAATCCTCGTCGGTATGATCTTCGTTCGTATTTTCCGGAGGAAAAATAGTTACATCAAGAGGAGTGTGATAATCTTCTCCTAATTTAATATTATCAACTTCTTTCAAAAGTTTATGCAACTTCAAAGGCTTCTTTCAATAACTAAAATGGATAATTTGTTGATGGTAATGATAATTTTATTTATTATTGATTGGGATCGTAATAAAAACAGTAAGAACAATATATCCTATTCTTACAATTAGTAGTTCATGTTACTATCGTCCTTTCAAAAGAGCGGTAACATGAAAAGTAGCATAGGCTGTTCAGAATTTATTTAAATAGTTCCATGTCATAATATTATCACTAGACTATCATGAGGAATAACGGTCAGATTGTTTACACTCGATAAATAATCATAATACTCATTAGTTACCAACCTCAAATTATCCATTGCACACACTGAAATGAGACTCTGAAAGAACGTAAACTCTTTTTTGTTGAAAATCCAGCTGATATGTTGCTCACTAATGGCACCTGTACTTGTGATGAACTGACGCCGAGAACAAAAACAATAGTTCTATCTCGTGCAGGGAAGTTGAAATGAATATTGTAGATTCCTGTTCATCGACCTTTGAAAAGAACGCTAGTGATATTGAGAGGCAGAAGTGGCAAAAGTGTGTAAAAAGAACAGTGAATTATAGGTCACTTACCTGAAATTATTGTTAGGGGCGAAGCGAGCAAATTATTTTATTTTTTCCATAGCCTTTTTTACCTAACATATTATATTATCTAACCACCCCGCTATTATTATATCTGCAAGTGCACATATTTGAAATAGTACTGAAGTGATCAGTCATGGATCTGAATAGCATATAATCTAATTTTCACTGTTATACTTCATGATTTATATGGAGATATTGAGATATTGAACAACTTTCTGTCATCTATTATAAAATTCAGATTATGTTAATGGAAAACACGAAGTGAGTTGAAATGAGACCGATATACCTACCTACTTCGTTCTGATTCTTCTGAATAAATAGAGGGAACACCTTCCAACATCGTATTCTCTGGGAGGCATTATCTCTAAAATGACATTATCGAGTCTCTCAATATCCAAAAGTATTACGGTATTCGGATGCAGAAGTGAGCACGACACTATTTATTTTGGAACTGATTTATTTGAACTGAAGAAACACTAATTCATATCAAAATTATAACTACTATTAATGTGGAACGATTTATATCACGCGGTATATGACTGTCTCTCTGACACTCGCTGCTTGACTGACTGATTGCAGTTGTTCGGCCGTCTTATATATGAGTTCCCCTGATAGGCTTTGCTTATCGAACGTTCTCGAATGATCTTCTGTACCCTTCTTTTTGTTCTAGAAGCCTCTTAGAACAACACCCCTCTCTCTAATTGTTCCATCGATTGTTTCCAGAACATTCCAGAATCTCCTGTCACGTTATTTGTCACCGCGGCATACATTGAGTGTTCGGAAATATGCTGGTAGAGGTAAGAATCATTGGGATGTTGAAGAAATATCTGGGATGCGTGTTACATAATGATCATTGTACTCCTGTCTTCCTGAAGATGTTTTTAGAGCCCCTTTTAGGAAAATTTCATTAAACCAGCCTCTCCTCAAAACGCATTCCTCCTGGAATGCACTCTGATCGTTATAAAGATAGGGACAACTGGTTTCAGTATGGTAGAAATTACATGGCACTATCTTATTTCTTGAAGTTCTTTTGGTATTCTAGCAGCATACCAGAATTTCAACTCCGGTGAATCTAAATACAACCTCCAGCATGTTTCTTACAACTCTCCAATTCAAGCCATCCAGACCACACGCCAGCTTTGGAAC